TTCTTGATTTCTTTGGGGGTAAGTGGGGAAAGGATGGAGTTTTGAAAGGTGAGAGACTCCCCCAGTCCACTTCTCTTGACAGTGAGTGATCTGCAGAGTAATCCCCTCAGGTGTGTGTATGTGTGTTTTAACAATACACTTCCAATCTCAACACATCAGAGTGGAATCTTGTTGCTGTCAAACACATGCTCAAGTTCCCCCACATATGATGCACTTCCTTCACCATTATGAAATAGGTATATTCAGTTCATGATTGTGTAACTGGAGTTCCATAAGTGTAAATGTTGCACATTCTTTGGCTTGGGAAGTATGTAACATACAGTTGCATATCCTTTGGCTAGGCAACGTGCAACTATTCCTCAGTGCATTTGCTGTACTACTTGATTCACCTGGATTGCAGAAAAAGACCCTGGAATCTTGAATTCCAGCACTCTTCATATAATAAACAGTTCCCATTGGAAATCCTCCTGCGTTTCACCTGAACATCCAAATCCTCTTCAAGTTCCTTTTCATTTGCAAGTTCGGTGATAGCCCTTATGGTTATTTTCTGAGTAGCAGACAGGAATGGACCTCTGACCTGATGCAGTCTGGCAATTGCTACATCTGTATCTGGCTGTTCAGGATGAATTGAGGTTAAACATGTAAATCAAATAAGTATCCAAAGAAGACATCTGGTTGCCCAAAGCCTCAACAGAATGATGATGTAAGGCGAAGATTATAGTTCAAATGACAGCTGGGCCCTGATTGAATGAACTTTTGAGGTCCAAACCTGAAGCCATTCAGCAGAAGGATGTGCTGAAAATCTTTCTTGGGGATTTGAGTGTCTTCACAACAAGCTGAGGAGGCCGTAAGGATATGTTTGCTTATCATCCACTTAACCTGCTTCCCATCTCTCTAGGCCAACATTGTAACCTCAGGTCAAAACTATTTGGGATGGCTGTTACTTGTGATAAACACATTTTTGCAAGGTGAGTTAGACACATAAGACTTGGTGCCTTGTTATTATTAATGTGTACTGGTGGTGTGGGCAGGAGGAGGGAATGGGAGGGAAGTAATTTCTACAAGGGAGGAGAAAAACCCTGGTTTTTTATGTATAATGTGATAAAATTCCTTCCTGGAGTTCAACCATACTGCTTATGTAGCAAGTATTTGCTTCCGCAGATTGAAATACACAGCTTCTGCATTTAATGCAGGAACTGATATCCTTCTTCGGTGTTTCTGAAGATATGTATTTTGCTGATCTAAATGTCAGTCTTGGAATGTAGACAGTTTGGATGAAAGAGTGAAAAATTTGAAAAGTTTGCTTCCGGGTGGGCAAAATGATGATATCTTTTTGTGCATTTGAGATTATTTTTCACATTTGGGATCATTTTTTTTTTGCAAAATTGTAATCTGTCCACAAAGAGTGCATTTTATTTTTGTACAGGAAACAATGGATTGTTTTTGTCTGTGTGCAAAATCGCCACTATTTTCTACAGAAAAACAATGGCTGAGATGCTGAATCAAATAATTTCTTCACAATGGAGAATGAAAGATAATTACTTGATCATAACAGTATGTAGAGAGATCTTGTAGCACCTTTGAGACTAACTGAAAAAAAGAAATTGGCAGTGTTGCTAATTTTTTTCTTTCATTTAGTATCAATGGTGCTACAAGATCCCTCTACATATGATTCTACAGACTGATACGGCTATATCTTTGAATTGATCATAACACCAATCCACACCAATGTTATGGGTACAAGGTTTAATGAACGAGTGAAATTGTCAACCAGAATGAGATTCTTGACCAGTCAAAGGTCCAGATGTGACCAGGCCTACTGGATTTTCTAGGGTGGGGACATTCTTCAAAGTTGAGAGGAGAATACAGATCCCCCCTGCTCTGAAGACTTACCAGATGAAGTCCCAATTCACAAGTTCCTTATGAAAAATTCCTTATTATGTGCCTCAGCAATCAGATGTCCAAATTAACTCTGCATTTATCCTCTGATGAGCAATCACAAAATAAATGCAAGATATGTAGGTGAAAATAGTCATATAGAATGACAAATGGATATCTTTCACCACTTGGGGAAGAACCTCTGTCAAAATAGAAAGAAAATAACAACACACTGTCTTCTTTCATTCCTAGTCTACCTATGTGATAATAGTAATTGGGTTTGGATTGTTCACCAAGGAATTTGCAAATTCGTACTGTAATTCAGCCCTTTGCCAGATAGAGTACAATTATATGACTTCTAGTCCTGTTTTACTGCTCTGTTTCACACATGACTTTCAAGCATAAGCACAGATACCCTTGATAGAATTAATCTACATTCTCCTTTAATAACTAAACTTTGAAACTGTTAATTCTTCTCTGAAAGTCTTCTCCACAAAAGCAGACAATAATGTCCCTCTGTGCCTCCTCCTATCTCTGAACAGGCATAGTCCTCTACCCTCTCCCATAAAGGACATTCTCTTACTCTGTGACTCTTTTCCTTTTGTTCTCCAGCCCAGACACATTTACAGCATGCACAATAAATGTACTGTATCTGTGGACAACTCTCTGTTACAGTTATAATAATGCTATTGTATGGCGTTTCCTGCAAGGCTCACCACCAACAGGCCTCTTCTCATCATCAAAAGTGAGAGCTGTTGTAGAAGGTTTCTTGTTGTCTCAAGTGGATCATCATAGACAGTGAGTTTCCAACAGAGGGAAAAGAGGAAAATGTGCTTAGGAATGATACACTCCACTTGATTTTACAGTTGTCAAAGAGATCGCTGGATTTGTCTGTCTGTTTCAGTAAAAGAGAAGGGATGAGGGAGGAATCTATGGGACTGATTTACTTTAATTCACTATATGTTTTTTCTGGATTTAAATCCATTTCTTCTGTTTTATTTATTTATTTATTTTATTGCACCCCTTTCTCCCTATATGGGATCCAAAATGGCATACATGGATTAGAACAAGATACAAAAGATTGCATGAGGGTGGTATCTTAATTCAGGCTCATACAAATAGCACAACCATTGTGCAAAAGGTGAGTGTGAGGCAGGTTGTCCATTATGTGATTTTTTTTAAAGAAAAAATATGATAAAGTATGACTCTGGCATCATGCTGGCTGTGTTTAAATGTATATTCTATGAAGAGTGAGTTTAACCCTTTAGAAAAGCCCTGTGAGTGTGCTCACAAGAACACAGTTCTTCACACAAAGATCTGCACATTTCTCAAAAAAGTCAAGGTGACCACACAGCGCTGCATGGGCGCATGACATTCCAGAATTATTTCCTGCTCTAAGTGATTTGTTACATTCTGACTGTAACACAGCCATCATCTGGTCTGAGATATGGGACCTAAAATTTTAGAGGGTTTGAACATTTATGCAAACCAAAGATGAAATGGATAGGTTTCCAGGGCTTCCATGGCTGTGTGGGGATTTGAAACCTGGTGTCTACATTCCTAGTCCAATGCTAAAGCCACTATACCACCCTGGCTATCCTCGTCCCAGTAGAATAAGTCTAAAGCAAACTGCTGCGGACCTTTCTTCCACATTCATAATCTTTGCCATCTTGACTATACTCTGATGTTGCATGGGCACAAATGTCCCAGTTTTCATTTGTAAAATGTTGCAGAGTATGAGATTCCCCATCTAGCTCCAGGTTGTCACCAGTCATTGATGCTATCTCTCCAAGATGTTAGCTGCAGATTTTTTCAGCCATTCTCCAAGAGAAAGATGATAAAGCTTTCCTTCCTCAAAGCACCTTGCCACTGAACAATGAGGCCCCTTTTTGAGCAAAGAGGAAATTCAATCAGAAGAAAAAGAATCTTTCTGACATATGCTCCTCCTTTCACTCTCCTTTCCTTGAACCAATCCCAAAGGCTATTCCATTTAGTTTAGATGATATTAATTTAGTGGTGTACATTTTCAGGGGGTGCCATTTTGCTGACCATAACTATATTGTATTATTTGTCTCTCTGATATTTTACAGAAAGATGAGTGCCTTCCTCTGTATGGGCTTCCCACCTTCTTTTGGCTTACTCTTCAGTAGACTTAAAACAGAGGAGAGAAGAAAAAGAAAAGAATGCAGGGTAGGTGGGATGGAGATCACAAGGCCATCTCTTTCAGAAGCACATCTCTTCCACCCCGTGCCTGCACACAATAGATTTTCCACATGAGATGAAAGGGCAGATACAATTTGCTATCAATTTTGACTCTCCTAGAATATTTTTTTTGCTTGCAGTTTGTTAGCAGTGGTTGCTAGGAGATGCCTCCCTCCTTTCCCCATCTCACCACTCACATACACTAAGCATCAATGAGCTAATGTGGAAATATGTTGTATTATATAATTAAGCCCTCAGTGATGTTGACGTCCATGAAAGAAAAAGCTTGAATATCTCTTTCATATTAGCAGGAATGTTATTAAAGCATTATGCGTGGGCACATGAGACGTGTCACTGAAAGCTACACAGATTTCCCAGGATTAAGAGCATCTCATGGTCTAGTCCTCTGTTGCATCTGAGTAGCTTATTGAGTGGGAATACTGGGGGTTGGGGAACCTGGAGAAGCACCGAACTAGAGCAGTGGATTCTAAGCATCTCACTAGACTACAAATCCCTAGATTCCATTGAATGGAGCCATGACAGTTACAGTGAAACCCAATAGTTATAACTCTGTAGCACAGGCATACTCATAATTCTCATCCATCCCTAATCCTGATCCCATCTAGTACCAATATGTTATGCATGCAGCTCTCATGATTATTACTGATAGTGCTATGTATTTGTCAAGATGGTACGAGGAAGAAAGGAGAGACATAGATAGAGTCTCCCTTTTTCCTTCTCTTGAACTGTGTTGGTTCTACTTGTTATTGTGTGCCTTCAAGTCATTTCTGACTTACGGTGACCCTGAAGTGAACCTATCTTGGGGTTTTCTTGGCAAGCTTCTTCAGAGAGAGTTTGCCATTGCCTCTTTCTGAGGTTGAGAAAGTGTGACTTCCCTAAGGTCACCTAATGGATTTACAAGGCAAAGCTGGGATTCAAACACTGTTCTCTGGAGTGATAGTCCAATGCTCAAACCACTACACCATGCTGGCTCTCCTATTACTGAGAATCAAAGCAGGACATTGAGTGCTTCACAGGCAGTATGTCTGGTGCAGGTCCAGTTAAATATATGAGGACATCATTATGTAAACGGATCTTGTAGCACCTTTACATACAGATTTTCCAAACTAACATGTCTTTGAATATGAGGACATGTAACTATTTGAAGGGATGTCATACTGAGGAGGGAACAAACTTGTTTTCTGCT